CACTCATATATACACACACACACACACACATACACTCTCATATACACACACACACACACACACTCATATATATATACACACACACACACACACTCATATATATATATATACACACACATACACTCTCATATACACACACACAGTCCATTCAGTACAATGTTGAATCAGTTCAATAACTGTGATTGCTGGTTCTACAACTGAAATGTGAATTTTGAAACTTTTTTGCTTTAAAAATGTATTTTTTTCCCATAAGGACTACAACTATAAACTCATTTTATTTGCCTTTAAATCAGAAACAATGAATGACCAGATTGCTTATAGAATACAGATATATACAGATGCTAGAATTGTAATTTATAACAGAATTATAGATATTATGATTATACAGATTATAGAATATAGAATAGACATATTTCTTATCAAGTCAAGTCCCCTTTATTTGTATAGCTCTTTATACAATACTGATCGTGTCAAAGCAGCTTTACAGTGCTAAACAAAAAAATAGTCTGTCAATAATGCAAGAGGACAATAACAGAGTCATTTTTCAGCTAAACACATGAAATGTAAATAACTGATTCCACATGTGATCATCTTGTGAACATCATACTGTGGTGATCAGTGGAGATGATGATTGACAGGTGCGTGCCGTGTGATTGACAGGTACGGTATCATTCACTCTGGAGGAGTGGGGAAGTTTCTGAGCGACTGGATCGTGAGCGGCGAGCCTCCGTATGATCTGATCGAGTGTGACCCCAACCGCTACGCTCACTGGACCAGCGTCCCGCACTTGTGCGCCAAAGCCAGAGAGTCCTACGGCTTCAACAACGTCGGTGAGTGGCGTGACAGGAGGCGTGCGGATGCTGGAGTGATGTGTGGTGTAGATGATCTCTGCTCTCTGACTGGTTTCAGTGGGTTACCCGAAGGAGGAGCGCTTCGCGGGTCGCCCGACTAACCGGGTCAGCGGCGTCTATGAGCTGCTGAAGGACAGATGCTCCATGGGTTTCCACGCAGGATGGGAGCAGCCGCATTACTTCCACAAACCCGGAGACGACTCCGGATACAAGTGAGACACACCGATCTACACTGAACAGATGTCAAAAATCATTCACTGGTGATGAGAAATGAGATGAACACTAGCACTCAAACACTGAGGGTCGGTGGGGTTTACAGTTTTTTACGATTGCTTAAGCACAATTTTGAAAACAGGGCCCGGTTTGTCAAAACACTACACACAATTAACACAACCCTACACCAAAGTAGCACAACACTTCAGATCATTTGCAAAATGGAACACTTTTGTCAAAACTATACACAACTTTATAAAAACAATATTTTGTTACCATACGAAACACACACATTTCATATGACTTTAATCTTTTTGAACCAGTTACACACCGCTGTTGCTAACTTAAAACACTTTTAGCAAGTCTAATTCTCAGTGATTAGAGTACTGTAAATGAAGTACACAGAGAAAGTGCAACTATACAATAGTTCACCAAACACTACACAAGACCAATGCTGCAGACTGACAAAAATATCATTGATTTCTCTCCATATACCCAAATCAGTCAACATGGAGAATCACAACAAAACATGTCCCAGTTGTCATGCTACTACAGTAGTGTGCATAACACTGTTAGCTCAGCAAACAACAGACAAACGTAAAATACTGTATCCAGTACAGGTTACAATTACAGTAAACAACAACAACAACAAACATAAAAAATAATCTGAAAAAAACTGACAATATTGTACAGAAAATACTACAGTAAACATACTATACATTATCTCTTCGCTCGAGAAACATTTCTGATTATTATCAATGTTGAAAACAGTCGTGCTGCACAATATTTCTGTGGAAACTGTGATACATTTTAGTTTTCAGGATTCAGAGATGAACAGAAAGTTCAAAAGAACAGCATTTATTTGAAATAGAACTCTTTTGTAACATTGGAAATGGATTTAATGTCACTTTTCGTCAATTTAATGTGTCCTTGATGAATAAAACTAATAATTTTTTTAAATCTTACTGACCCCAAGCGTTTGACCAGTAGTGTAGATGATGCTATGATGAAGTGAAATCCGCTGCTGTGGTGTAGTGATTGTGAGTGCGTGTCTCTCTCGGGTCCTGTGTGCAGACCCAGCTTCAGAAGGACTAACTGGTTCGGGCTGGTCGGCCGCGAGTGTAAACTGGTGATGGAGGGTGTGGGTGTGATTGACCTTTCACCTTTTGGGAAGTTCAACGTTAAAGGAGAAGATTCGCACCGGCTGCTCGACCGGCTGTTCGCCAACACACTGCCAAAGGTGAGAGAGAGAGAGAGAGCAGGAAAATCACAGTAATATGTGTTACAGCAGTAAGTTTTATGTCTGAAATTTTTGATTGACAGGAATTGACAGTGTGTGTGTGTGTGAGTGTGTGAGAGAGAGAATGTGTGTGTGTGTGTGTGTGTGTGCTGATGGAATCATGATGATCTGATGTGTCTCAGGTGGGTCAAACCAACATCAGTCACATGTTGACCCCGCGGGGGCGTGTCTACGCTGAGGTCACAGTTACCCAGACTGCACCTGGAGAGTTTCTGCTCATCACAGGCTCCGGGTCCGAGCTGCACGATCTGCGGTGCGTCTCTCACACAGACACACACACATTATACACACACACTTACATCAGTAACTATTACTATAATCTGAGGGCTGAAGGAGCCAGTGTGTGTAACGTGAGAATATCTGGAGTGTGTGTGCGCGTGTGTTTGAGTGTGTGTGTCAATATCACAGCTGTCTGGTTTCTGCCCCTTGTCTCATCCAATCAGGAAACAGCACACACACACACACACACTGCCCCCTTCTGGATGAAAGTGACTTGACCTGCAGCACTAAGAGAGACTAACAGATGCAGCTGTTAATAAGTCAGACTTCACTAGTACTGGTGCTGATAGTGATGAGCTGAAACCTGTTAAAGTTCAGCATTTGTGAGCTCCAGACATGAATGATTTATCAGATCATGTGTGAAAACATCTAGAATCCAGCAACAACACCTTAGCAACTGCCTAAGAACACTCAGAACACCCTAGCAACCGCACTGCATCACCTCTCCGTAGCACTGTAATGAGTTTTGTACAAACATCACTCTCATTCTCCTCATTAAACTGCACGACTCCAGTTGTTGTCTGTGTTTGGGTTGAATGGCGTGGCGTGTGCCGCTGTGGTTTCTGTGTGTCTCAGGTGGATCGAGCACGAGGCGGCTGACGGCGGGTATCATGTGAGCGTGTCTAACGTGACGGATGAGCTCGGTGTTCTGGGCGTCGCCGGGCCGAAATCACGGATGGTTCTTCAGAAGCTGACAGATGAAGACATGAGTGACACGGCCTTCAGATTCCTGCACTGCAGATCCATGCAGCTCGCCGGAGTTCCCCTCCGCGCCATACGCTCACGCACAGAGACACACACACACACACACACACACAACATTCATCTCATCTCAAGTGTTTTTTTTTCTTGTGTTTCAGATGAACTGCGACACAAATCCTTTAGAAGCCGGTTTGGACTATTTCATCAAACTCAATAAGGTAAGAAAAAACACACCAGGGTTACTGTTAACTAAAACTAAACCTGAGCTGTAAGTGAGGTCCTGCTCTCACGCTCACACTGGTGTCTCCAGCCCGCAGAGTTCATCGGTAAACAGGCTCTGCTGGAGATCAAGGCTCAGGGTTTGAGCCGTCGGCTGGCGTTCCTCACGCTGGACACAGACGACATCGACCCGGAGGGAAATGAGACCGTCTGGCACAACGGAGAGGTGAAGCACACAGAGCACTAATAACACAACCCAACGGGATGTGTGTGAAATTTCTTACCAAATCAACTGACAGGAAAGAGTTTCACTGCTTGTATGTGTGTGTGTGTGTGTGTGTGTGTGTGTGTGTGTTGTTACAAAAAACTGATGCGCTGCTACGGCAGAAACAAGAGTTTATCAGCTCATCCACAGTGACTTCTGTTTCTGGCATGGAATAAAAATAAAAGAGAATTGTGACTTTTTTCACTTAACTCTGAATTCAGAATTGCGAGATATACACTTGCAATTGCGAGAAAAATGTAGAGCTGTGAGATAAATAGTTGCAACTATGTTTTTACTCCTTTACAGAAACAAGCTTGTCACAGTTCTCACAATCCTGACTTGTTTTCTCAGTATTGTGAGTTTATATCATTTCTGACTTTGTGTCCCACAATTTCGACATTTTTTTCGTTTATATCTTGTAATTATGACTCAAACAAGCTTGACTGGAAACAAGCTTGTCTCATGCTGATGTGCGTGTTTCTTCTGTTGTCTGGAGGTGGTGGGGAACACGACGTCAGGGTCGTACAGCTACACCGCGCAGCAGAGCCTGGCCTTCTCTTACCTGCCCCTGCACCTGACTCACGCGGGTCAGAAGGTAGAAGTGGAGCTTCTGGGTCAGAAATACCCGGCCACAGTCACTCAGGAGCCGCTGGTCCTCACAGAACCCACCAGAACCCGCCTGCAGAAGAAGCAGCGGAGTGAATGACTGATGGGAACAGAGACGATCCTGAGCTCATTCTGAATATGACACTCAATGATGCCACAACAGAACAGCAAATATCAGCCGGAAAGTGTTGCTTTAGCAAAATAAATCAGGTGTGAGCTACATGAAAATCATAAAAGCACTGCAAATGTGCCAGAATATGGAAACGTAAAAGTTGTAGTTTTTAAAATCTGTGTTAATCATTTTAATTGAAAACTGTGAAGATTTGCTGCTAAACATTGTGTCTTAATGTCATATTCTGTGAATTATTTCCACAGTCATGTTGAACTCTGACAGTATTTTACACGTGTGTGTTCTTGCGGGATCAGACTAACTGATGAGTCTTACAGAGAAGAGCTCTAATAAAGCACAATCTCAGTATTACAGATTCTAGGATAATTCTAATATTTGAACGACCTCTGATTATTCCCGTCTCTCTGTACTCTATGTTTTCATTGTGAATAAACACACTTTCCCTCTCGAGTCGGTCTCGACACGGTGTCATCGAAGATGGGGACAGTGTTTTTAAAAGTCCAAACTCAGTAAACACATTAATAATAAATCATACTTAGACAAGTGGATCGAACGCAACATAGTCAAATTGACCCCAAAGCAACTCTGACTTTTCTAAAAAATATGATAATTATATCTTTAAACCTTGAATCTTTCTGACTTTTGCTAAATGTATTCGCCGAATTCATAAACATGCACACTTGTGTTACAAAGTTTTTAAAATGCCTGTGCACATTTTGACCCCATCACTTTTTTTGGTGAAAAAAAAGATTAAACATTATATGCAGAATAATTTTCTGTTGATTGCCTCTCATGAGTAAATATCTAATGAGTAAATATAATTTATGCCTTGCTATAAATGTACATTTTACTATTACTGTACTGCATATGAAGGAGTTTTTCAGAGTTCTATATACTTTTATCTATTATTTCATACAATAATGTGTTTACAAACACTGTACACACATTTTTACAAGCATCTATAAAAAATGATTGTTGTTGGTTTTCCATATTATATGGGGATTTTCCATAGACATAATTTTGATACTGTATACATTTCCCCAAAAAAAAAAAAAGCTGAGGACAATGGGTTTTTTTTCTATGTAAATGAAGCAATTAAATAAATATATAAAAAACAAAAAGTTATGATTTGTCCTTAAAATTTATTTTCAGGTAGGTAAAGTGTAATAAACAAAAAATAAATAATATTGTCAATTTGAGTAATTTATAGATATATTTAAAATTTGCACATAACAGGAGGGTTAAGAAGACGGAAAACTTCGCTCATGAATATTAATTACGTTACGTGACCGAAGGCTTACGACGGACGTCACATGTCTAATTAATATTCATAACCAGGCCTTCGCCATTGAAGGAACGTCAGCGTAACTGAAGTAATATTCATGAGCTGAGACTCCGGCGTCATGATTCTGCAGACTAGTTTATCACAGTTCTGACTTCTGCTTTAGTTCAGTGTGTGACAGGAGTCGGTTCAGATGACTCAGAATGACTGTGAGGAAACTCGCGCTGTGTTTTCTGCTCGTTTCTGTCGCCCGTGTCGCGGCCAAACCGCCGAATATCGTGTTGATTTTGGCGGATGATTTCGGCTGGAATGATGTGGGCTACCACGGCTCTGAGATCCGGACTCCTCATCTGGACCGCCTGTCCGAGCGCGGGGTTCGGCTGGAGAATTACTACGTGCAGCCGCTGTGCACTCCGTCCCGGAACCAGCTGATGACCGGCCGCTACCAGGTCAGAATACACCAGGGTTGCCAGGTTTTTACAACAAAACCCGCCCAATCGCGTCCACGGGTAAAATCACGTTTTTTGGCGGGGGTCCCCTGGAAAAAAAATCGCATTCCAGGGGTTAAATATCGCGTTATTGTGGTCGCTTTAACCATGAAAAAAAAAAAAAGATTTACATGAAAAACAACCCGCGGCAACAGTGTAACAGTGAGTGTAACAGTAGCCCGATTCCGCGGGAAAACCGCGCACCTGGCAACACTGGAAAACACCAGTAAACTATGTACTGTAGTACTGCCCTGTGCTTTAGGACTTGTGCCATGGTAATAACATGGTATTCTCTAAAGTAGACTACAGTAAGTACTGCGGTAATACACTGATAATAGAGTTGAAATGTCAAACTGAATTCAGTTCCTGAATTTGATCTGTGGTGTCAGGCATGAGGTTTCAGTTTCAGGAAGTAGAATTCAAATGGAATAAAGTTCATATGACAGCTCTAAATAGTTTTATTAGTGCATTTTCAGTGAAATACCTAGAAACGTGCATGTATGTATTTACCGTGGTACTGTACAACACATATTGGTCGTATTCATATTTAACAATTCAAGTATTTATTACATAACAGTTGTACAGTAAAACACGTTCAGTATTTGTCCAATTATACCATAGTACTACCATGTATTTTTTTAAGTAAGTACTGTGGCAGTACCATAGTACAGTGACTGCAATTGAATTGAACCCTATTGAGAATGTAACATCTAATTAGTTTCCTGAATTTGATCTGTGGTGTTAAAAATGGCATAGAGTGTTGTTCTTACTAATGCATTTAATTTTTCATGAATTTCCTATTAATATGCATGAGCCTGTGTTGACGTGTGTCCAAAACCTGTCCAGTTTTACCATGGTATTGTTGGAAACCCCTCCTGTTGGAATACCGTGGTACATTCATGATGTCAGGAGCGTGTGTGTGTGTGTGTGCGTCTGTGTGTGTGTGTCAGATTCACACGGGTCTGCAGCACCAGATCATCTGGCCGTGTCAGCCGTACTGTGTTCCTCTGGACGAGACGCTGCTGCCCGAGCTCCTGCGGGACGCCGGATACCACACACACATGGTGGGCAAGTGGCATCTGGGCATGTTCAGGAAGGCCTGTCTGCCCACGCGCCGAGGATTCAACAGCTTCTTCGGTGAGTGACTTCAGAGTCACGAGTGAATCAGAGCAGACGCCTGACAGCAGCAGGAACCAGGAACAGACGGGTTATATCTGTCACAAGCTGGATCATGTGACACGCGTGTCGTTGTGTGTGTCTGCAGGCTACCTGACGGGTTCAGAGGACTACTTCAATCATACCAGGTGCAGTTTCATCGCTCCTCTGAACGTGACACGCTGCGCTCTGGACCTGCGTGACGGCGAGGACGTGGCTGTGAATTACACGGGACTCTACTCCACTGAACTCTTCACCCAGAGAGCCACGGACATCATCACACGACACACACCTGAGAAAGTACACACACACACACACACACACACACATCACATGACTCACCTCAGGGCCTGTTCATAGCCAGATAATCCTATTATCGTTTATTTGAATATTTACAGACCAGTGTTGCCAACTGGTAAACTAAAACTGGTAGCTAAATGTCACTCGATGACGTCATATTGGCAAATTCACTGATCTATATAAAGATGAAAGTAGATCAGTGGGCAAGATGAGAACTTACATAAGGTTTGTCCAAGAAGTTGCTATATGTGACCCTGGAGCACAAAACCAGTCATAAGTGTCAATTTTTTGAAATTGAGATTTATACATAATCTGAAAGCTGAATAAATAATCTTTCCATTGATGTATGGTTTGTTAGGATAGGACAATATTTGGAAATCTGGAAATTAAAGTTGTCCAAATGAAGTTCTTAGCAATGCATATTACTAATCAAAAATTTAGTTTTGATATATTTACGGTAGGAAATGTACAAAATATCTTCATGGAACAAGATCTTTACTTATTTTTTACTTAGTTTTTGAGGGTTTCTCTTGTGTTGCAGCCGTTGTTCCTGTATGTGGCGCTGCAGGCGGTTCACGGCCCCCTGCAGGTCCCCGAGCGCTACGTCAGCCCCTACAGCTTCATCAAGGACCAGCGGCGGCGCGAGTACGCAGGGATGGTGTCAGCCATGGATGAGGCTGTGGGGAACATCAGCCGAGCGCTGCAGGACTCGGGGCTCTGGAACAACACCGTCCTCATTTTCTCAACAGGTACTGAGATCACGAACGACACGAGACGAGACGAGTCTGGCTTCGGCTGATCTTTTGAGGCGAGGCTGTGTGTCATTTAGAAGTAAATTAAGAAAAGGTGCGTCCCAAATCGCGTGCTTATGCACTATTCTGTGACGTCTTGTAGTATAAACAGTGCGAGTGCTGCATTCACACTGAAGATTCCAAAAAGAAAAAGTGCACTTTAAATACCCGGATGATGCATGAGTGTGGAATGCTGGACACTTCATGCACTCAAGTACGTCCCGAAGGGGAGGGGCTATCAGACTCCGATTATGAATGACAAAATAAACTTATATAATTCATACACTACATGGTTGAGTACATAGTTCATAAGTACATAGTGTATGAGTGCGTCATTTGGGACGCATCTGAATTGACCTTGAACTGAAGTGGCAAACATGCTACCTAATAATCTTCATATTTTATTTTATTTTATATATCTTTTATTTAGCCAGGAGAATCCCATTGAGACTTCACAATCTCTTCTTCCAGGGAGACCTGGAAGTGCCTGTTTATTATCAGGACTCAGTGTATTTTATAAGATTCAATATTTTAATTGCTCTTATGGCGGCTGCTAATAATTTGGACAGTATTGAAATATGACTGGTCAATAGAGGATCAAATTATGTATTCCACATCATGTCAGAGAATAAATGTGCATAATCAGTCAAAATGGATGAGTTTTGTGGAAAAAAAGGTCTCTTCCACGAATGAAGGCCTTAAAAGGTCTTAAATCTGAGCCAAAAGTCTTAATTCCATGAAGTCCTGGCATTAAATGTTGCAAAACAAATGAATATCTTCCTCAGTATTTCCATCTTGTTTTCCAGTACAAATATCTAAACATCCTTAAATCAAGATACATTTACTTGAGAAGTACAATCAAGATATGAAGTCTTGTTTTCAGGGTTGCCAGATTGAGTCAACGGTTTTCAGCACAAAACCCGCCCAAAACATTTAATGCCGAAAGAATGTGATAGAGTTTTATCACCATGTCAACCAGTGTTGATAAGGACCATTTTACCTCCTTAATGATCATGACAGTACAAAACTATAAAACTGAATCAGTTTCCCGGCCAGGAGAACAGTGCAACAGGAAATGCATCAAAACAAAAGAGAATGAGCAAATATGACAAAAATGTCCAAACCTAAAGCATGTCAAATATTTGCAAACGGCAGCCAAAAAAATGTACGAACTCATTTAAAACAAATGCATCATTTTCAGTGTCAACAGCAAAAACAAGCCAATGCATATGTAGACAAAAAACCCCAAAAGATCAGAATTAAGCAGCGTAATTAGTGCAACGAGGTAACTGTTAGTGTGAACGCACACGCTCATGCACACACCGCTACAGCCGAAGAAAATGCACATACTGTAGATGCAACTTATATTTATGCCACTTTGGCATTGCAGTCACTTTAATATACAGTTACAAGTTCAAATTTGGTCCCTTATTGCACTGAAAACCCGTCACTCATGTCTCAGCAACACAAGAAGGCAAAGTGATTGACAGGTCTCTCGCACCCAGCCCTGATTGGTTAAGCTGAACCAATGATGTTAAAGAAAAAATGCAGTATGTTTCTGTGATAGGCCTACTTTCCTAATTACAAACATGTATTAAAATAACTCGACCAAACAAAAAAGCAAATAAAAACCCACCAGTCCAAGCCGATCAAAAGAAGAAACCCACCCAATCTGGCAACACTGCTTGTTTGATGAGAAATTAAACAAAATGAGTTTATGATTAGGACAAGAACAAATATCTGTCCGTGGGGAATGAAAACGTGTTTCCTTTTAATTAAGTAGATTTTTCTGAGATATTTGTTCTTGTTTAAATCAGAAACTCACGTTTCTCAGAAAATGACTTATTTTGTAATTTTGCTTCTCAAGGAAATGTATGGCTGATTTATGAATCTTTAGACATTTTCACTGGAAAACAAGACTTCCATAATCTAGTTTGGAGCAGAGATATTCAAGCCAATTAGTAAGATGAATCAAAAACTAATGGAGATCTGCTGGAAGTTGTACTTTCAAACCTTTCTTTGCTTGCTCTTAAGAAGTCTTAATTTGGCAGTTGTGCTGATCCGTCATAAGGTGGCGCTGTTTCCTCTCTGTCTGCCAGATAACGGCGGTCAGACCCTGACGGGAGGAAATAACTGGCCTCTGCGTGGCAGGAAGTGGACGCTCTGGGAGGGCGGAGTCAGGGGCGTGGCCTTTGTGAGCGGCCCACTCATAGAGCAGCCGGGAGCTGTCAGTCGAGAGCTCATCCACGTCTCTGATTGGCTGCCTACGATTGTGGGTCTGGCCGGGGCGTCGACAAACGGAACCAAACCTCTGGACGGGTTCGACGTGTGGGACGCTATCAGGTGAGAGTGAGCTACTCTTCATCACCATCATCATCATCATCATCATCATCATCATAGATCCCCCTGGGTTTAATTCACACCGTGAGCATCTGCCACACCACAGTGCACTTGATCCTAATGATCAGATGAGCTGTAACTGCAGACTGGAAGTGTGTTTGTGTGTTTTGTGACCCTGGAGCACAAAACCAGTCATAAGTGTCAATTTTTTGAAATTGAGATTTATACATAATCTGAAAGCTGAATAAATAATCTTTCCATTGATGTATGGTTTGTTAGGATAGGACAATATTTGGAAATCTGGAAATTAAAGTTGTCCAAATGAAGTTCTTAGCAATGCATATTACTAATCAAAAATTTAGTTTTGATATATTTACGGTAGGAAATGTACAAAATATCTTCATGGAACAAGATCTTTACTTATTTTTTACTTAGTTTTTGAGGGTTTCTCTTGTGTTGCAGCCGTTGTTCCTGTATGTGGCGCTGCAGGCGGTTCACGGCCCCCTGCAGGTCCCCGAGCGCTACGTCAGCCCCTACAGCTTCATCAAGGACCAGCGGCGGCGCGAGTACGCAGGGATGGTGTCAGCCATGGATGAGGCTGTGGGGAACATCAGCCGAGCGCTGCAGGACTCGGGGCTCTGGAACAACACCGTCCTCATTTTCTCAACAGGTACTGAGATCACGAACGACACGAGACGAGACGAGTCTGGCTTCGGCTGATCTTTTGAGGCGAGGCTGTGTGTCATTTAGAAGTAAATTAAGAAAAGGTGCGTCCCAAATCGCGTGCTTATGCACTATTCTGTGACGTCTTGTAGTATAAACAGTGCGAGTGCTGCATTCACACTGAAGATTCCAAAAAGAAAAAGTGCACTTTAAATACCCGGATGATGCATGAGTGTGGAATGCTGGACACTTCATGCACTCAAGTACGTCCCGAAGGGGAGGGGCTATCAGACTCCGATTATGAATGACAAAATAAACTTATATAATTCATACACTACATGGTTGAGTACATAGTTCATAAGTACATAGTGTATGAGTGCGTCATTTGGGACGCATCTGAATTGACCTTGAACTGAAGTGGCAAACATGCTACCTAATAATCTTCATATTTTATTTTATTTTATTTATCTTTTATTTAGCCAGGAGAATCCCATTGAGACTTCACAATCTCTTCTTCCAGGGAGACCTGGAAGTGCCTGTTTATTATCAGGACTCAGTGTATTTTATAAGATTCAATATTTTAATTGCTCTTATGGCGGCTGCTAATAATTTGGACAGTATTGAAATATGACTGGTCAATAGAGGATCAAATTATGTATTCCACATCATGTCAGAGAATAAATGTGCATAATCAGTCAAAATGGATGAGTTTTGTGGAAAAAAAGGTCTCTTCCACGAATGAAGGCCTTAAAAGGTCTTAAATCTGAGCCAAAAGTCTTAATTCCATGAAGTCCTGGCATTAAATGTTGCAAAACAAATGAATATCTTCCTCAGTATTTCCATCTTGTTTTCCAGTACAAATATCTAAACATCCTTAAATCAAGATACATTTACTTGAGAAGTACAATCAAGATATGAAGTCTTGTTTTCAGGGTTGCCAGATTGAGTCAACGGTTTTCAGCACAAAACCCGCCCAAAACATTTAATGCCGAAAGAATGTGATAGAGTTTTATCACCATGTCAACCAGTGTTGATAAGGACCATTTTACCTCCTTAATGATCATGACAGTACAAAACTATAAAACTGAATCAGTTTCCCGGCCAGGAGAACAGTGCAACAGGAAATGCATCAAAACAAAAGAGAATGAGCAAATATGACAAAAATGTCCAAACCTAAAGCATGTCAAATATTTGCAAACGGCAGCCCAAAAAATGTACGAACTCATTTAAAACAAATGCATCATTTTCAGTGTCAACAGCAAAAACAAGCCAATGCATATGTAGACAAAAAACCCCAAAAGATCAGAATTAAGCAGCGTAATTAGTGCAACGAGGTAACTGTTAGTGTGAACGCACACGCTCATGCACACACCGCTACAGCCGAAGAAAATGCACATACTGTAGATGCAACTTATATTTATGCCACTTTGGCATTGCAGTCACTTTGTGTGTGTCTCTGTGTGTGTGAGTGTGTGTGTGTGTGTGTGTGTGATTACAGCCTCCCATTTAAAGGGATCATGAAACGGAGAATCAAACTGTTCTTGATATTTACACATAAACATGTTTTCTCTACAATAAAAACATACTGCAAGTTTCAGAACTCAAAACTATCTCCCCATTTTAAAATATGAATTATTCTTTTCTACCCTGCCAAAAAGTGAGATGAAATGTAAATCAGTGAGATCTTTATAACAGTAGAGCAGATACTGACATAAAATGATCTAAATCTCAGTCGTGGCTCTATATCTCCAGTAATAATAAGATGAGATTGAAATGCTCCAAACATATAATGCAGTGATTGAGAGCTGAAGAAATAAAGGCTCCTCAGAAGATGTGAGATGTTCTGGAGGCTTGTGAAGATCATTCCTCCGCTGAGGAACAGTGAAAGTAAAGCTTCTGGAAACAAACGCTCCTCAAAAGATCCTGAGGATCAGATTTGAGACTCTAAAACATGATTGATGGAGAATCAAGTAAAGCTGAGCTGCTTCAGTCCAGTAAGTGTTCATCTGGAGATATTACTGCAGTTATTCTGACCTTTACTTGATCAAAACCAGTCAAGATTTGACTCGAGAAGCTCGAGCTGAAGCTAGACGTTTCTACAATTACACTAAAAGAGCTTTGACTGGATAAAACACTCTAAACTATCAATCAGACGACAAGGTTTCATAGTAAATTTTAGAAATATGATACAGTAGGTTTATAATGGTGTTGTTGATTGTTCATCATGAGGTGTGTGAAGATGATTGAAACGACATGAAGGTGAGTAAACGACTAATTGACAGCAGTGGCTTCATTTGCTTAAAGGGACTGATTGTGTGTAGATTGAGTTTCTGGTGTGGATTGAACAGATTCAGGATGTTTCCAGCGGTTTTGACCCGTCATGCAGAGGTTCCCCCAACACTGTATGCTTTCCATGTCTCCGTAAACACTCCAGATTCAGATCATCAGCTCACTGGAGGAAGCGTTATTATGGATTATGGACTCTATGGTATTTTAGTTAAAAACATCTTAATGCTGGATTAGTTTCAGCTCTTGTCTTCTCCAGATGTTAACTGATGGACTGGAGTGCTGTGGATTACTTGTGGATTATTGTGATGTTTTTATCAGCTGTTTGGACTCTCATTCTGACGGCACAACGCGCACACACACACACACACACGCACACACTCTCACACACGCACACACAGGACAATTCTGAATTTCTTGCATTTCTGAGCTTATATATCACAAGTCAGACTTTTCTCAGAATTCTGAGTTCGTCCCGCAATTCTTTTCTTAGAATTTTGAGTTAGAAACCGCTAAGAAAAACGTGTTCTGAGAACGTTTTGCTAACATTCCCATTAAGTAATGAAAATGTTATTTCTGAATAACATCCAGTTTTAATGTTAAAGATAACCAAGAATAAAAAAAAAACCACACACACACATTTTTCTTGGTTGCATGAACGTTAAGGGAACATTTCATTTTATAATTTTGCAAATATTATGGGAACGTTAAGTTTAAATGTTTTGTAAACGTTCCGAAAAAAGTAGCAACATTTAAATGTCCGGCAAAAATGTTTCAGGAAAAATTGTTCACTGAACTTGTAGAAATAACGGTTTTGTGCTAACGTTTTGAGAACATTATTAAAGCCAGATAACCTTGAATGAACGTTCCGTTAACGTTTGTTTAAAACTCTAAGAGAACCTTGCCAGAACATTAGCCAAAGTTAGCCGTATGAACTCAAAATTGAGAGATATTAATAAAAAGTGTGAATTACATTTATTTTTGCTTGAGGATGAGCACATTTAGAGTTTTAGTTTGACATGATGAAGCTCAATCTCTGTCTCAGGATCAGTTCTGGTCAGTCGACTGTCTTCTGGTTACTGACACAATGTCTTCATCAGTCTGAAGTGTGTTTGTGCTTCGCTGTAGAGACGGAGAGCAGATTGAAAAGCCATTAGAGAGGAGACAGACTTTTCCAGAGACGGCACAGAAACTACAGCTCACTTCCTGTAATCAGACCCTCCCCCTCCTCTGCACTTCCTGTGCTTGTGGAATGGTGCTCTGTGATTGGCTGGAGCAGAAGCTCAGCGTCTCCACATGTCTCAGTATCTTTCTGAACCTGTCTGAGAAATATTTGATTGTTCGCTGCACTGATGCTCTTCCTCAGTGTTTTAGTCTCGTACATATATCTCAGCATTCTTACATCAAGATACATTTGCTGGAAAAATTAAGATTCTGTCAACATTTGCTCCAAACCCATAAGACTATAATCTTGTTTCCCCTTTAAACTGATTTTATTTTTCATTCCCCATTGACAGATCTTTGTTCTTGTTATAATCATAAACTCTTCTCATTTTGATCAATTGCTCAGAAAACAAGACTCCGTAGTTGCTGTCATCTGTCTTGATTTATGGATGTTTAGATATCTTCACTGGAAAACAAGACACAAATACTGAGGAAGAACATCAGAATATTTCCAGTGCATGAGAAAACCACGTCTTGTGTGCTCCTGTCACTCACACACACACACACACACACACTCACACAGACTGAGTGGATATGTTCACAGGTCAAAGGTCACGCAGCCTCCTGATGTTTGCTGTGAATGATTGACAGGTATCAGTCCCCCATACTGCAGTCTGTTTGGACTCATGAGAGCGCGAGACCGAGTGTGGCTTCCGCCCAATCACATCCTCAAGATCGAGGCCTCAGCCAATGAGACGCTGCTGTTCAGGATCAGGTGAGCGCCGCGAGGATTAGCTGCAGCACTGATGCATGCCGGGATTGGCAGCGGGATCTAATCCGGTCCCGTCTGCAGGTTTTATTTTCCAGGCTGGTACGGCAGCGGCTCGAGCTCGGCCCGCAGGTACGGCGTCTCCAAGAGTTCAGAGGCACCTGTGCTACTCTGTGGCCGAAACAAAAAAATATAAATAAATA